CCACAGGACTTCCACAGGGTGGGGATATAGCATCCTACCCCTGGGAGGAGCCTCGTGTCCCTGGCATGAAGAACTAACTGTAAGCTGCTACTCTGGAGGGACAGCAGATACTTTGAAGAATAGTACAGACTACCAAAGAGAGGGGTGTCAAGCTGCTATTTATGTTAGGCTGGCTTCAGGAAATAATGTTGAAATTTTTCTTCTCTAAGTTTAGATCCGTTTGAATACATTAGAATTTTCTATTCCTTGAAAGTTTGAAAGCATTCACGAATAAAACATTTGCGTCCAGGGCTTCTTGGATTACCTTCTCAATTTCTTCCCTGGTCAGTGTTCTCTTGCAATTTTCTGCCTCTTTGGGACCAATTTTGTTCATTTAGATTTTCAAGAAAAACACCCATGTAACCCAGCTTGTTAAATATATTTGTATAAAGTTTTGTCAAATACTCTTGGTCATTTTTTAAGTGGCCCATCTTTTCTTTCCAGCTTTATTGAGGTATAATTGACAAGTAAAAATTGTATATATTTTAAGTGGACAACAAGATGATTTGATGTACATATACAATGAAATGATGATTACGACCAAACTAATTAACGCATCAGCACTTCACTGTTACCACCTTGTTTCTAATTGTTTAATTTGTACTAACTTTACACAATATAGAAATATGTATTTGCAAAAAAGTAATATTGATGGAGATAGTAATAGTACCTACCCAAGTTGTTGTGAAGATTAAATAAGTTAATATATGTACATTGGTGAGACTAGTGCCTTAGTAATCATATTATTGGATTTGGCCATCATTATTATTATTGTCCATATTTTCCAGTTTTGATCATCCTTATATTGCTAGGCAGAATTCTACAGAATCCTCTTTACAAGATGACCATCATTAATAATGTAGTACTGACTTACACTATCTTAAATAACTTGTAATTTCCTCCCAAGTAAATAAAACTGCTAGATTATGTTTTAAGTTTATGACTAATGATCTTATGTTAGAAAACCGTGTGTATAAACTCTTAGTATTCTCTTAGAAATTACAGGATAAGGAAATTAATATATGCTACTGTCAATAAACTTACTGCAATGGTCTATTTTCTTATTTTTCAATTCTTTGTTTCTACCTAGATCTCTACCCACTGGAAGATAAGAATGGGTTAGGCAGGCAAGCTTCAAAATCTTTTATTCTAAAGTGAACAATAATAAAAGAAAAAAACCTGACCGCTGCTTTTTGCTTGTTTCCTCTGAGGAAACTGCTTCTGGTGCAGGGATCATTGTTTCTTTGCACGGGGAGCACTTTACTAATATAATGTTTTCTATCAATTATATCTCAATTTTTTAACAACCTTGAGAAAATACTTCTTATGAATCCAATATTCTTATAGTCATGTCTATAGAGAATTAGCAACTCTCATTAAATTAGCGCAGTTTATATTTTTAACCTTCTGGTCAATAAAGTAAATCATCACACAGTCTGAGTTAATATAGTTAACTCGAATAAAGGGAAGTCTGCATTAATAAATATGCTTAAAGACAAACAATTCTATTTGCAATTTCTACTACAACACTAATGATTCCATGGGAATTGGCATCTTACTTTCATGAGTAAGTGGTTAATGCCTTATTTGTGTACAGTATATCGCAAATCATACCATTTACTTTCAAAATGTTTGTAAACAGTCTGTCTCAAGTCAGTTATACCCCTTATGTTATGGCTTATCTGATTTATTTTGAAAACATCATTTATATAAGAGAAAACTTTAGTTCAACTCTTATCTAAATGATCCAAATGACGTTAATAATCAGGGAAGCTAAGAAAAATCTCCCAACTGGTGTAGGACAAGTAGACTTTCCATAATCACAGACATGTGAAAAACACAGTAAGTCAGGTAAGACACTTTTTATATATTATTGCATTTATTCTCACAATAAACCTGCAAGGGAGGTGACATTAGCCCATTTGACAGATATGAAAGCTGAGACCCATAGCATCTGTGTCTTGCCCTGGATCATAAATCACATGTTCTTTCCATTATTCTACATTGTTGAAAAGTCTAATCTTTAATTTTAAGAGGGCCTTGGTGAGATTTATGCCCATGTTTCTGGTTAGCATCTAATAATTATAAGTGGTTTTTGAACCCACTTTATCAACATAGCAATAACCAAATATCTTGATTGTTTTCTAGAACTCACCTTAATCTTTAGGAAGACCAACTTGATTTAGATAAAGGGCTGTAGAAGAGGTTTATCTTGATTTTCAAAATAATACTGCCACCTCGTGGTGAGCTAAGGTAAGTTGCCCTAATGCATGGTTTCAGTTTCATTTGATTAAAATTTTCAATGGGCGTAAAGGAATGTGTCCAGAAATAATGAGTTATAGCTCTCAGAAAAAAATGATAATATAATTTCAGCTCATACACCAAACTACTGTTTTCATATGAACTGCCAAGTTGGATTCAATAAGCATTTGTTCATTTTATTTGTTCATTCAGCACATTTACTAAGCACCAGTTTTGAACTGTGAAGTCAATACGAAGATGAATAAGGACATATTCCATGGTCCTAGAATATGAGACACTATTCCTGGAGTGGTTGAGAATATGTACTCAGACTGCCTGAGTTCAAACCCCAGATCTGCCACTAACCTGCATGACTATGGACAAGTCACCTAAACTTTGCACTTTGGTGTCACTACATGCAGAGTGGGAAAATAGTGCCCCCTGCCCATAATTAAGTATCTTGTGGAATACAAAGTACCCTGTCTGAGCAGGTCTTCAAGGAATACATCTGGGAAGTGACACTGGTGAGTGGAGTCTTGCATGAAAGGCAGATGGCCTTTTCTTAGGTGATGAGTAGCAGGGATGAGACATTACCAAACAGACTTTGGGGTGGAAACAAAGACTCGCTCTCTAGGATCAGAATTCATATTGATTTATCCCAGTAAACACTCCTCAAAATGCACAAAAAAATGTATATAAAGCTTGCTCAGTGCATAATTGCTCACAGCGGTTCTCAACCTGTGGGTCGCGACCCCTGAAAATACATCCTGCATATCAGATATTTACATTACGATTCATAACAGTAGCAACATTACAGTTATGAAGTAGCAACGAAAATAATTTATGGTTGGGGGTCACCACAACATGAGGAACTGTATTAAAGGGTCGCGGCATTAGGAAGGTTGAGAACCAATAGAAACTATCCAATTGCCTATTGATAGGAAAATGGTTAAGTTGATTATGGCATATCTATGCAGTGATATAGGAGGCCAACATTAACAGAATGCAGCTGAGCTATATGTACTAACATGGAGCAACTGAAATGCAGAACAGCATCTAACAACAGCAACTCTCAGTGGAGTTCTGTTCAAGGGAAGGACATCCAGCCCCAGCAGGCAGACCAGTTCAGAGTGCTGGGATGAGGAGGACCTCAAGCTTGGAGAACTCAATGTCCAATGAGAACATCAAGCTTGGGTGGGTGTAGTGAGAATCAAATGATGTATGGGAAACCCTGGTCACATGTTAGACACTTGATGGCAACTAGTTTTAGACAGAATTTCAACTTGTAATTTTTATTAGTATATACACTTATAAAGTTCAATTTTTTTAAAAAAAGCTTTTAAATACAAATTTATTTATATAAATGAACGCTTCTCAACATAAACAGTTTCTAACCTTGACTGATCTCGTAATTACTCAGGGAAGCAAACTCCTGGTTTCTTATAGGCCACTGTGCTGTATGACTGCTTAAAGGGAAACTAGATCCTTTTTTGAGCATATTCCCTTACCAAAACACAGAAATACTTTCTTCTGCTTTAAATAAAATAAAAACCTGAATTCACAGAACTGAAATTTTAAGAGGAGACTCCCACTACAAAATCTTTCTTTAACTAAAGGTTCTTCTAGCCCAAGGCGTATTTCCTTACAGATAATTAACTACTTGAAGTGGGACAGGAATTGGTGGAAGGTGGGAGAGGTAGCAAGTGTGAAAACAACCAGTGACTATCCATCAGGAATTGATACATCTCAGAAAGCCAAGGAGAAAAATAAGAATCTCTTTATTTTAAAATGTGATTTATACTGAACTTTAAAAAAATACAGCTATTTTCCAAAGCAAGCTACTCTGGCTTGGAGTTCTGAAACATGACTGTGTAAAGAAAAAAATCCAATAACCCATGGACATAGACAATAGGGTGATGAAGGCCTAGGGTGGGGGCAGGGGTAGGCTGGAGGGGGTCATTGGGGTAAAAAAGGAGACATGTGTAATACTTTCAACAATAAAGAATTATTAAAAAAAAAAAAATCCAAATACAGATGAGAGAAAATTGTTTCCAGAGACTTAGGTAGCTACAAAATAAATTCCAAACATATGAAAGGCTGAAATGCTATTTATTGTAAGAGAAATGGCAAATTTTCCCATTCCGCTGACCTGAAGCAAGTTGAAAACTTGGTAGAAAGGCTGTTTACTAAGGGGAATTAATAAAAACATGGTCCTAGCCAAAACCGGTTTGGCTCAGTGGATAGAGCGTCGGCCTGCGGACTGAAAGGTCCCAGGTTCGATTCCGGTCAAGGGCATGTACCTGGGTTGCGGGCACATCCCCAGTAGGAGGTGTGCAGGAGGCAGCTGATCGATGTTTCTCTCTCATCGATGTTTCTAACTCTCTATCTCTCTCCCTTCCTCTCTGTAAAAAATCAATAAAATATATAAAAAAAAAAAAACATGGTCCTAATAAGGCCTCTCTGTAGACCTTGCTCTGATGAGGGCAGTCAAGATTTAAAAAATAAAAAGAAAACCTGAGGTATAGAGAGCACAATTTCTAGGTATCGAATCTGCCTCATCACTCCCTCTGAATGCATGTCTAACTGTCATTATTCAGAGCTGGCCATTGATTTGCCCACTTGGAACAGCTCCAGGCCTATTACCAGCTACAGAGCATCTGACCTGCGATAAGTGATGTCAAGAAGGCGGCAAGCTCAGCAGGGCCTGGAAAATCCAAGGGGACTGATTAAAGAAGTAATTTATTTGTTGCTACCATTTGTTTTATTTTTTTCCAGGAATGGGTAAAAAATAAATAAATCCGTGTCTTTGGCATGATTCCAATGGAAACTATATCCACAGTTCTGAATGCCTATCCAAATGCTGGTACAGAACTTTGCTGCATTAAAATTAGTATCAACTTGTCCAAGGTGGACGTGCATTATGATCAAGACAGTTGAGATCTTCTAGCCAAAGATGCCACAAAATAATTCAAACTATTACATGGAAAACCATGTAACAAACCAGATACTTATTTTCCAATCATAGTTATTCCAGTCTCTTCCATAAAATTGCTTCTGTCAATAGTTTTTTTATCGCGTCAGAGAGATTTTCTTTCCAATAGTTAATAGAATCAATTCTATCCCAAGTTAGCAGTCCTGTGTCTTATTAAGCAGGCACTAGGACTCTATCCTGTTTTCTAGAAGTCCATCAGATGCAGGAGTGCTTTCTTTCCTTGTCATGGTAGCAAAAAGCATATCCATCATCCCCAGGGTTTCTAGCAGTTCTTTTTGGTAATCAATCTCTTTTTCTACAAGTCCTTGAAGTAACAAAAACTTTTTATCAACTACAGGCGACTGACCAATTACCGGCAGATATATATCTAGAAATAGAGAGAGAAAACACAATAACTAGAAATATCTTTCTAAACAATAAATGAACAATATTTAGAAAACGCATAAAAATATTATATACAAAGACACTGGAAGATCTGTACTTATTTTATATTTATGATTTACAGAAAGTAAACAATTTATCTGAGTAAATATATTTCAAAAAAGAAGTAGTTATAAAAAGCAGAGCATGAAGCCCTAGCCGGTTTGGCTCAGTGGAAAGAACGTCGGCTTGCAAACTGAAGGGTAAGATTCTAGTCAAAAGCACAAACCTCAGTTGCAGGCTTGATCCCCGGCCTTGATCGGGACTTATGTGGGAGGCAACCAATTGATGTGTCTCTTTCACATCCATGTTTCTCTCTCTGTGTCTCTCCCCCTCCCTTCCACTCTCTCTAAACATCAATGGAAAAATATCCTCATGTGAGGATTACCAACAACCAAAAAGTAGAGCACGGACATTCTGACTTATTTTCATTTCCCCATTAAAAAGTAGTCACTGTCACTGTAGATGTTTAAAGAAAAAAGTGGTGTTTTTTTTATCATAACCCTAATAACAGCAATTCAAAGTTGAAGCACTGTAAACATTTTACTCCATTTTAAAATGCATTGATTTACTGTTGTTTGTTTTCTCCATAAAAATCTTCAATCAAGAATTGATAAAAACAAGATATTTTGATTTGAGTTCCAAATTTTATTTCATATTTTGACATCTCACTTTTGCAAGCATGCTAGGATTTTTCGAGTTTTAACAATTACTTACCAATAACTATTTCAGCAGCATTGATCAAAACAGAAGCAAATCTCGGCTGAGACAGATTCCTACAAAGCAAAAATTGTTTACTGAAACTTGCCAACTTGAAAAAAAAATCTTAAAATTCATTTGAGTTGTTCTATCAGTTCTCTACAAAGATCACATTAAAAGTAAATGTCTCTCATTTGGGCATAAAGGATTTTAGATGTAAAAATACATTGTGTGTCATAGACATGAAACATACCTTATCAAAAAATTAAGAACACGACTGATTTCCTTTTCATCCCGACCTGCAAGGGCATTTGCAAGAACTCCTCTTCGATTGAGTTCCTTTATGATGGAAACTGTAATCTCAGGTGTCTTGATTGTACAACTGGGCTAGAAAAATTTTCAGAGTCAACATGAGCAGACAAGACAGCACAAGAAAAATTACAGTCTTGAAACTTACTAACAATTGCCAAACTTAAATTTCATCTTCACAGTTTTGAGTCATGGTACTACACAAGTAATAAAATAATTCCTTTAACAATATGCTCCCTGTAGGTTCAATTGTAATAAATGCACCGTTCTGGTAGGGAATGTTGTTAATGGAGGAAGCTGCACACACACTCACTCACTCCTCACTCACCTCGAGGACTCTGTCAAGTGCTTTGGAGATCCGGAAATTTTTCAGATCTCTGTCATACAATTCTAGGTGTTTTTTTGATGGCCTGTTAATCAAAATGTCATCCTGCATTGAAAAGTAAATTTATAGAGAAAAATCAACACCTGTATAGAGTTTCATTCAAAATAAACTTTTTCATAGTGGTATTTTTCATACCAGGGCACTCCTGAACTATTCATGAATGATCCCATGCCCATAATATAGATAAAATGAAAATGGAATAATTTGTCACATCAATGTGCTCTTACTCTCCTATGATTTTAACTTACAATGCATACACAATACCTCCATTCTGGGAAAACATTACTGATTTCAATTCTCTTTACAAGTCAAGCAATGTGATTTAGTAGAAAGAAAAAAAAAGATTCAGAGAAATTATGATCTAGTCAACAATTCTGTTACCAGGAATGAAATTCTGGACCAATTTACAACTTCCCCATCCTCTCAGATGCCAAACGGGAACATTATTGACTCTACAACTTTTCAGGGTTGTTTAGAAGATCACATCAGATGGCATGGGAAAGAAGACATCGCTTTGAATATGGTGAAGCACTATAGCTTTGTTATGGGTATTAAATAAAGTAGTCCTTATTCCCCATTACTTATTAGGAGGGTCCCCAATCTAGCAATCTAGAGATAAATCTGATATAGAAAAATCAAAATAAAGTTAAATGCCATGTAAACTATACTTTCCAGTAATGTGCAGGGAATTGGCTACTCTAACAAATTTCTCCTTAAAAAAACAAACTATATATATATATATGCCTTTTGCCCTAGCTGGTTTGGCTCAGTAGATAGAGCGTTGGCCTGAGGACTGAAGAGTCCTGGGTTCGATTCTGGTCAAGGGCACATACCCAGGTTGCGGGCTCAATCCCTAGTAGGGGGGCGTGCAGGAGGCAGCCGATCAATAATTCTCTCTCATCACTGATGTTTCTCTCTCTCTCTCTCCCTTACCCTTCCTCTCTAAAATCAATTTTAAAAAATCAATATTTTTAAAAAATACCTTTTGCTTCATATAATTTTTCCCTTTAATAAAAGTTCGATATGCAGGCCTTCTTCTTCTGGGAAAAGAATCCTTCTTCGCTTCCGATTTCCGATGTTTAACACTCAGTATTCCATTGGTCATTCCTACAACTATTGTCTCATCTTCATGCTAACAGCAGTTAGAAAAAAAGGTTAGTCTATTCCTAACTCATAATTTATCATACTTTTTCTTCAAAATACCATTTATAATGTGTTTGCTGCTTATCCATACTTTCACCAAGAGTTCCATTCAGATACAGATATTCTGCCTAACAATGATCTATGCAAAAATTTAGAGCAAAATCATTTTCTCTTCTAGGATACTATTATATGGACAGAACTTATACCTGTTATAAATCATCATTGGCAGTTTGTATAATAATATGCAGCTAATGACATCTTGGAAAACTCCAAAATATTTTTTTCTGCATCCTATTACTAGAAAAAAAGGATTATGTAGTGACATGATTTTTTACTCTTGCCAAGAAAATATTTGATTTTCCTCTCCCAATTTGGATTTATCTAGAATGTATCCAAATATCCTCCTCCTCAATGGCTCGTGAAACTGGACAGTGGACATTCCAGAAAGAGCAGTCAACAAAGGAAAGGAGATACTTTGCTGTCCCCTGTCCGCCACGGTCCCCACCCCCTTCAGAGGGCCAATTTGACTTTCTAAGTACTTAACCCTTGAGTTAAATGTTTTGAAGAGTTTTATCAACTTCCCAAGTCCTGCCCTTAGTGCTAACAAGGCCTACAGCACTGCACTTGGTTTGAAGCTATGCAGTGTGCGGGACCTAAATCTGAACGCATGCTCAGTTACTGGGACAAGTCATATATTCTAGTAATTGTCTTAATTCAATACTCTAATGTGGCAAAAAGAAAATAAGATTTATTCGAATACAAAGATAAACCCTACCATTCCATTTTAGTTTCATTTAACAGGCGAGGTTAGGGGAAGCTTTAAAAGAAACTAAAAGTACTTACTGCAAGTGCAAGACTCAGAATTGAAGCTGCATAATCAAAACTGTGGACTACTTTGTAGGAAGTTGTGCTATATACTTTCACCTTCCTAATAAAAAAGAAATCTTTGTCACAAAATATCTTGAAAATGAGTATAAAATTTTCCATTTTTTGAAAATTCAATACATGAATATTAAAATTTATACAATAAAGATAAACAATAATTAGTAATATTAATTACAAACTAATTCATCACTGAATCCTCTCTTATGGGTCAAGAACCACTGCAGACAAGAGCCAAGTTATCTAGCTTTTAGTCCCAAGTTGCCTAGTAACACATTAGAGAGAATTTGCTACATATTTACACAATAAATTCCTTTGTATTAGAAGTATTTTCTAGCTTTAAAATGAATGCTTTTTAATAAAGACTGAGGGGGGGAGGCTTTACATAATGGGGGAGGAACTAAAAATGACCAACATGCCCTGACCGGTTTGGCTCAGTGGATAGAGCGTCGGCCTGCGGACTGAGGGGTCCCAGGTTCGATTCCAGTCAAGGGCATGTACCTTCGTTGTGGGCACATCCCCAGTAGGAGGTGTGCAGGAGGCAGCCGATCAATGTTTCTCTCTCATCGATGTTTCTAACTCTCTATCCCTCTCCCTTCCTCTCTGTAAAAAATCAATAAAATGTATACTTAAAATAAATAAATAAATAAATAAATAAATAAATAAATATGACCAACAACAGAAGAATATAATTCTAGAACTGTACTGTAGTCTAGCCACATGTGGCTACTGAGCACTTGAAATGTGGCTAGTGAAAATGAAGAACTGAATTTTTTATTTTACTTAATTTAAATTTAATTTTAAAGCTGAAGCAGTATAAAAATAGTTTTCTGTTAAACACCAGTATGTTTCACTTTAATCACTATAAAATATTGTTATTGGAGGGCATGTATTACATGCTAAAATTGTTTCTAGTATCTCATTAATTTTTATAGTGATCACATATTGAAATAATATTTTAGATACAGTGAATTAAATGAATTTTATCTAGTTAAATTAATTTTACCTAGTTTTTACCTTTTTAATGTGGCTATGACATTTTAAATGGCATATATAAGCTCACATTACATTTCTACTAGACAGCACTGTTCTAGAACATTAACTAATAGAATACTAATACCTATTTAAAATAGTAAAATTGGACCACATTAATATATATAAATTTTTACATGAAATTTTAAATTTTAAATATTATAAACTAGAATATTTACATATACTCATTATTAACTGTTTGAAAATATACGAATATACCAAAATGATTTTAAAAAGAAACTACAGAATATAGATTGTTTTAAAAGATCAATGTTTGAATGGTTCAGTAAAATTCCTTAAGTATGCCCTGGCTGTTGTGGCTCGGTTGGAGCGTCATCCAGTGCACTGAAGGGTCTCAGGTTCCATTCCTGGTCAGGGCAAGTACAGGAGTCAACTGATCAATGTTTCTCTCTCATATCTCTCTCTCCCCTTCCCTCCCTCCCTTTCCCATCCCCTTTCTCTAAAGTTAATTAAAAAAATGTATCCTCAGATGAGAATAAAAATTCCTTAAGTATATAAGTTAAAGCATATAAGTTTTCTCTATGTAAATAAAAGGTCAAAACTATTTTCAACTCAACAGAATTTTTTTCATGGAAATCATTTGGCAGAATATTTATTTTATCACAAAAACTGAAGAAACAACTCATTTCCAGCAATAATTACTTATCCTATGTAATAAAAGGCTAATATGCAAATCAAACAAACAGCAGAACGACCGGTTGCTATGACACGCACTGACCACCAGAGGGCAGACACTCAACACAGGAGCTGCCCCCTGGTGGTCAGTGTGCTCCCAAAGGGGGAGCACCGTTCAGTCCGATAGCGAGGGTCACGGCTGGTGAGCGCAGCAGCAGTGGTGGGAGCCTCTCCCACCTCCATAGCAGCACTAAGGATGTTCGAATGACTGTCCGACTGACAGGGAGTGGGCCTAAGCCATCAGTTGGACAACCCCCAAGGGCTCCCGGACTGCAAGAGAGAGCAGGCCAGGCTGAGGGGACCACTTCCCTCCGCCCCCCCCCCCCCAAAGCATGATTTTCGTATACCGGGCCTCTAGTATACTAATAACAATGAAGAAAGAAAATGAAAATGCTAACCTGTCCAGTGAACCAGAGAGTAACCTCTGTCCAGAGCTGCTCAGACATAAACATGTCACAGTTTTATGATGATTTTTCAAAGACACTAGCAACTGTCCTCCTTTTAGCATGTCCCAGACTTTAACATAACGGCCTCCTATAAAAAGAAATAATTATTAGTTTGATATTCCAACTATAGATTCAAAAATTTAAGACCTGAAGAGCATTCTTCACTGGACACTCCACAGCACAGAGGTTAAGTGAGGGACTCCAGAGGCAGACTGCCCGGCTTCAAAGCTGACTACCTTTTGCTGGGTGTGTACCTGATAATAGCAGCTCCTACCTCGCAGAGCTGTTAGGACAATTAAGTAATTTCTTATTTTTAAAATACACAAAACTACATGGTAAAATAAAAAGCAAAACCAAAAGATTTCAACAAAATTAAAATAAAACATTCTTCAAAAGAAACGTTGTAATACCATAGAAATAATGCAGATTTTATTTCCAAAAAATTTTGCGAATCCCAATGTAACTGAAAAACTTCCCTATAACTTTTTCTTACTTTAAGAGTTGGAAGGATCCTAAAACACAATTCAATCCAATGGTTAAAAAAGAATTTTTTAATTCAGCATCTTAATGAAATATTAATGACTTCTTAATGAAATCTTAAGCAGAAGTCTAAGAGGTAAAATAGAAAAAGGGGTTGTGGAAGGGGGAACAAATTTCTTACCTAACCTGACTGTGCAAGAGGGCCTGGAACCCAATTCACGGTCCCTGTCTCCTCACATGTGGCAGCTCATGAGAGAGATTACAGTTTGAAACACTGATCTAGCCTAACCTCTCCTTTCCAAGATCGATAAAAGCTAAGGGATTGCTCAAGGTCACATAACTAGAGACAAAGTAATTAGCATACAGGTACCTATCATACTTCTCATCTTGAACTTTTCATTTCTCAAAACAACAGCAAGACAAATAGATACGTCTAACAATGTCATCAACTTTTTTTTTAATCCAATAGGTACTGGAGGAAGAGTATAAAACAGGATACTTTCAGAATTTTTTTTAAAAGGCTACACACAGCCTTTTTCTAGTAGGCTATAAAGTACACATACTATCTATGTATGCTTCCAAGGTCAACACATTAATTTTGATTTGACAAATGAAAACAGCCAATTCACTTCTTCCATTAAAATTTTGAAAATGCACTATCATCAACATAAGCACACTTCAGCTCCACCCTAGATGAAAAATGTATCAAGGCCTCTTTGACCTCACATTACCTCCTCCTCCAGCACTAGGAGCTATTTCTTGGGTAAGGCCATTTCATCAAGAGTCACATGAAAAAAACAAGCCTGATTCTAGATCTGAAAGAAACTGTGTTTTCAAAAACTGCCGCAGATCTCTTATGTAAGAATAACAGCAGGTGTACAACCTGGATTTCTGGGTTAAGGACATAAGCAGGCTCTCAAGTTCTGGGATTTCAGATCTATTTACCACTTTGCCTTGGACAAATTAGTTAAAACTTTTATTTATTTCCTCAGTTGCAAAACAGGGAGCAAACTACCTCCCTTGTGGGCTCATCTAGGGCATCAGAGAGAATAGCAGTGTCTGGTTCACATTAGGTACTCAATAAATGATAACTGCTTGCAGGTCCCACTTATCAATTGTTTGAGCAAACACATATAGGTAGGCAATTCAAGTGCACACTGATAAATTATAAAAAGTAACTGATAAAGAAGTTATCTGATTCCAGACCAACATACTGGTGAAAGCAATTTTTAAAAGACATACCTGCTGATACCAGAAGACCTCCAGAGGGAAAAAGCAGGACACTTTCCACTGGCTGACCATGCTCTACCGAGATAACACTCTTGTTTGTTCGTGTATCAAACATCTTCACAGTATGATCATAAGACCCTAGAATGTCAATTTTTATTATTGAGTTTCACTAGTCAAAACAACAAAAACTACTAGTGTGTGTGTGTGTGTGTGTGTGTGCGCGCATGTATGTACATTCAAACATAAAATTTTAAAGGAGAAAAGCTTAGCCCGGCTGGTGTTACTCAGTGGCTGAGAATCGACCCATGCACCAAGAGGTCACCAGTTCGATTCCTAGTCAGGGCACATGCCCGGGTTTCAGGCTTGATCCGCAGTGGGAGTTGTGCAGGAGACAGCCACTCAATGTTGATTGTTTCTCTCTCATTGATGTTTCTACAGTACCTCTCTCCCTCTCCCTTCCTCTCTCTCTAAAAAATCAATAAAAACATATTAAAATAAATAAATAAACAAACAAATAAATAGAAAAAAGTTTAGATGAAATTTTTAAAGAGTCATATGTAAATTCATAAAGATATAGTACCTCCAAACTCTTTGGTACCATTGTCTGTTTCTGAAGAAGCACAATATTATATTACACAGAATCTTAACTATTCCTATCTCCAGGCTTCTGTCACTACTGAGTCATCTGGGAATCTCTGCACATGCACCCAAAGACTGACTGCATTGTCTTGTTTCCTAGCTGCTGGAGACTCTGAAATCAGAATACTAAACCCATTACAGTTCTGACTGTCTTATGTTTTCAAGGCAGCCTGATGTTTCCAAGTATATTTGGAGGACAGTAAGAACAATCACCAAAAAAAGAAAAAGAAAACTGGATAAACAAAAACATATGTTTATTAAAAATGTTTAAACTCCTCTATCCAAAAACAATCCCAAAGCATATTAAAATCTAGCACAGTAAAGTTATCAACTTTGGGGGGTGTGGGGGGGAGGGATAGGGGAGAGTGAGTTTACCAACCTGTTACAAAGAGATCTGGGTTCAGCTTGCTAGCACATCCACACCTCACATAATCAGAATGCTCTTTGAATGTCAGAATTTCTTTGGAGTTTGGAATATCCCATAATTTAACTGTATAATCATCAGCCCCAGAGACCACATGATATTTGTCAGCTGTAAAATCTACTGTATGGACTGCTCTGAAAGATAAAGGATCAGTTTATTAAAAAGCAAGAAAAAATTGTATGTCTGACACCTTCTAACATAAAACACTTCTTTCCCCCAAATGTTTCAGGGTGTAATTGCAGGGTGAAATCATAAAGAGGAGGAAAAAAAATATTTAAAACAGGTGTCTGTCCTCAAGCTAACTTAAAATTTTAAATACCCATGTACTATGAAGTTAATAAGAATATTAAACAATAGCCTTGAAATTATATTTTACAATATGTTAACAATTTGAAAGTAAAATATTCTAAATGTTGGTACACAGGTACTTTTCTTTAATTTAAAAAATTTCAAAATGGGTAGTTCCTTAAAAAATTCTAAGATCTGCCACTAAATAGGATCATGTTAAGTAAATTTCTGTTATATTTTAAATGTTTCATTGATGGGATAAGACCATCCTGATAATCTATCTATATATATAAAAGCCTAAGTAGCCAGCCGACCATCTGACTGGTAGCTATGATGCACTGACCACCAGGGGGCAGATGCTCAACACAGGAGCAGGAGTGGAAACCACAGCATGAACACATGGAACAGACTGATGAATCTCAGAGGGAAAAGGCAAGGAGGGAGGGTGGGAAGAGATTAACCAAAGATCTTATATGCAGACTAGAGGCCCGGTGCACCAGTGGTGTCCCTCGGCCTGGCCTGCGCCCTCTCACAATCCGGAACCCTTCAGGGGATGTCGGAGAGCCGGTTCCAGCCTGATCCCTGCAGGCCAGGCCAAGGGACTCCACCGGTGCACAAATTCAAGCACTGAGCCTCTAGTACAATATAAAAAAACACTCTTGAGATTTTAAATTGATAGCAAATTATAGAAATGACATTGGTAATCCTGAAATAAAGTTATAATATAAAATTGCCATGACAGTTCAATTTATCAAGGGGCAAAATACTAAATCCAAGAAGAAAGAAAATCCACCTTCCAACTTAACTTCAAAATGAGAACTAATACAGTTCAGGCTTATAAAGTTCTCATTAACAGTTGTGAGGCTGCCTTTAGATCAGTGCTTTATAATCACAATTGGGTCACGGATCTCACTGAGAAGTTAATGAACACTATAGAATGTCTCCCTAGATAAATATCCATTTCCTAAAATGTTACATACAATGCTAGGGAATTCATAAGCCCCATCAAACTGGACCTTAGGACTGAACCAGGAAACAGACTGTCTTACAACAACCAAGAAATAAAGTATTTAAAGATACATAATCTTCTCTATGTTTTTATTCAAAGCCCAGAAAACAGAGTTTACAAAACTAAACATAAAGAACACATAAAAAGCACGTATCTAAAACTGTATGGTGGAAAAAATGAATTAGCCTTGTGACAATTTTGCAATATATACAAATATCAACTGTAATGTTGTATTTAAATTATACCTCAATTAAAAAAGATTTTTTTTAACTGTCTCTTACTTAGTATGGCCTTCAAACTGCCTGAGGGGAGCCCTCCCAGTTATATCAAAAAGCTGAACTCCACCATCTTCACTGCCAGCCACAAGCAATCTACCATCCTGTCGATAAGTAGCACAGTAAGCTGTGTCTTTAAATCGGGAAAACGTTTTTATAGGTTCCTGGGAGTATCGGCCATAAATGTGAATCTACAAGAAAAAAAACATGGTATTTTACCAGATGGCTCACAATTAGTAGTAAATATAAACTATAAAAAGAAAAATAAATGTAATGTTATATTTACTCTTGAAGAAGCTGTGACAGCATAATTATATGGAGGCTGTGGAGAAAAGTCTACTTTTGACACTGCGCCAAACTCCTTGATCTGAACAGGGGTCTTAATAAAAAAATAATACAGAGTATTAACAATTGCAGTATTCACAGAGTTACAACTGAGAATATCTATTTGTCTTTATAATCTAGAAGAATTAATTTTACATCACTTCCTCCTTAGATTAAGAAAAGCAAAAAAAACAAACAAAACTTCTTGCATGAGATTCAAATTCTAAAATTTAATTCATTTGTCACTGATTAATCATCTATTTTGTACTAGGCACTTGTATGATTAAGCAGCAATTTATATAAAATTCCAAGAAAATATCTAATATCAAATTTTCTGCCCAAACTATAAACTGCTGATAGATTGTTTTTAGTTATTAGTTCTCTACTAGTGTATCCAAAGTATAACACATGCTGGAGAAATTGGCATAAGTACTTACCTTATAGTTGTTCCAGTACAGTGTATCCTGGGTGATTTTTTCACCAAGTATAGGGTATGTCTGAATAGCTACAGGCTTATAACCAGCCATAGTTTCATACAATTAGACTGTTATCCAAAAGTAAGTAGTCTGAAAATGATGTTAGAAATAATTTTAGTGATTCTGCCTTATGTCTGAAAAAGAAAATATTTTAATACATCCTATATAATAAAAGGCTAATATGCAAATCGACCGAATGGTGGAACAACTTGTCACTATGATGCGTACTAACCAGCAGGGGGCACTCAATGCAGGAGCTGCCCCCTGGTGGTCAGTGTGCTCCCACAGGGGGAACACCGCTCAGCCAGAAGCGAGTGCCGTGGCAGTGGCAGGAGCCTCACCTGCCTCCATGGCAGTGCTAAGGATGTACGACTGAAGGCAGTCAGACATCCCCCAAGGGCTCCTGAACTGCAAGAGGGTGCAGGCCTGGCTGAGGGACTCCCCCCACCCCCACCCCAAGTGCACGAATTGCGTGCACCAGGCCTCTAGTATTACTCATAAACCTGTATATATACAGTTGTGATTTTTCACTCTGCATCCTGTCAAAAGGCTTTATAGCAGCTTAGTGATCAGCAAACCATTTAATTATAACACAGAAGAAATAATCTAAAGAAAGCAGGAAGAATACAAATAGGGCTACCATACTGCACCATCCAACTCAGCTACACAGAGGCTACATATAAATGTCCTCACACCTAATTGACCAATTTATAACACTTGGGAATAAATCTAGCTTAGCCGTCCAGTAGCCAAAGCAGAGAGAAGCATGATGGCTTAGAATGTTCATTTATTGAAGGTGAAACTGCAAATATAAAAGTTTCCTGAAACTAAATTAAAATGACATTTAATCTTTAAGAAGACAGGGATTGACATCCTGAAAGCCTAAAATGCCAAAAAGAATAAAAAACAAAACTAATAGTCTAATGTGGAAGCTTAAAATTAAATTTAAAAGCTTAAAAGAAAATAAAAGAAGGTAATATTCTGATGTAGAAGCTCAAAATTAAATTAATTTTTAAGATGGCTTAAACAATAAGAAAACAAGAATAAAGCAATTCTGGAATTAAATCTTAATTAAAGTGAGAGAACAGAATGAAACTTATAACTGACATGTAATTAAGCCCAAATTGTCTTTCCAGAACTATTCAATCTGCAAAAGATTCCATTTTATCAGATGAATGATTCTGATGGTACAATTCATCATCTATCCCAGAAAGCCTGAAAATAGTGCAGAGGTATCACCAAAATCTGTAAGTGCAACATTATATTTTAAAGGCTGTTTTGATGAAACATGGTCATCAACGATTAAAAAGAGGGGGAAACTTTTCTGTTCATTCAAGTACTTACAATGTATAGGACACTGTTCTAGGCACTAGGGATACAAGGATGACTGAAAGACATGGTCTGTACCCTCACACCTGAATATTCTCCATTTCAGCTGTGATTGGCACCAGCTAGGAATATGGAATCAGCCTTGACTTGTCCCTTCCTTCTCACTTCTAACATCCAAAAAGATCTGCTGATTTTACCTCCCAAATTAAACTTCATCACGTTCACTCCACCTAGTTCCACTGCCCTAACTCATATCTTCTCATCTACTAATAGTGTGACATAAGGTCCTCCTAACTCCCTCATCCATCTTCCAAATGGCCATCAGAGATATCTAACTACAAAGAATGTAAAATGAAGGAAAGGACGCGTTGTGCTGGGTTCCATGGGAAAACACAAAATTAAAATCACAAGTGGGATCTATAAGATGAACATAAGAAGAGGAGTGGACAAACTTTTTCTGTAAAGGGTCAGGTGGTAAATATTTTAGGCTTTGTGGGCCAACAGGAAAACAGGGGGTATTAATGTAGTTACTTATATAGTAAGAAAGAAAATTTCCAATGAAACCCCCAAAACAGTTATGACTATAATTTTTTATTTATTAATGAAAATGGGATTTGGGGGAGGGAGAATATTTCACTCACTTCAGGTTCAAAGTGAGTGTTTCCTATCATCAAATAGACTGCAACTGTTCATTTGTAAAAACCACTCTTGGCTCACTGACTACCCAAAAACAAGCACCAGGCCCGATCCGCCTGCCGGACTTTGCCCCATACTAGAGTATGAGCAGAAGAGCACATCACTGTGTCCTGAGAGAAACAGTTTAACATTAAGAAGGAAAACTGAGGAGCAGTAGCAGGAGTAGTAGCAGTAATTTGCCAGATGAGTGAGGAACAGCATTGGCGGGGGGGGCACGACACAGTGCAGAGGCATGGAGGCGAGAAGTGATGTGACATCTGGGTGGCTCCCAGGAAGATTCACGGTGTGCGTTTCCGCTGGGCTGTGAAGTTCTGGATAATATTAAAACAGACGGCGGAGGAGGGAGTATTCGAAACCGAGGGAACCTCCTAGGAGGCACAGAGATGGAAATTTGCCCACTGCCTTGCGAAGATGCGGATTATTCCGGGGACGAATAACAGCGGACGGTGTAACGGGGCTGTGATCGTAAAGGAGGGAAATCTGGGTGGAAGAGGAACTGAGGGGATCCCCATGGGCTGGCTAAGAGGTAACCAGCGGAGACTGGGGAGCCCAGAGAAGCATGCCACCCACCAAGGCAGATCCGGCGTGGGTCCGAGCTACCCTCCTCAGGAGCCGCCTTCACCTACCTCCGATGGCCCCGGGGGTCCGCCGAAACACCCGGACTTCGGGAGAATTTCTTGGACCCCGCTAGACCCCTCCCGGGGCAGCCCAGAAGCACTAGGAGCCGGTCACATGGACCCTCAGTAGTCGCCGAAACACCCGGCGAATGGAAAGGCCAGGCCCGTCGCCCGCTGATGACGTAACGGCTCAGGCTCCGCGGATCTTGCCGCTCGGGTGTCGCGGGGGCGGGGCAGGGGAAGTGGGCGGGGCTTATCGGGAGGGGCGGGGCCCAC